AGGTCACCTGGAGTCAGGACACTAGGACAATTATCTGGAGCCAGGACTTCCTGGCAGTCTCTTCTATTAAGATTGTTCCCTCATCCAGACTCAGTCTCAAGGAACTTTTCCTCAGGCAACATTTATGGTGAGACCCATACAATCTGGGCTGAACTTGATTCTTTGGCTGAGTTACTTTCCCCAAAAATACATCCTGCCCTAAACAGTGTGAATTCAAATAAACCATTCATATATTTTAGTTTGTCTACTCTAGGTGTTTCCTGAACTAAATTCTTTTTTGTTTCTTACAACTAGAGTACTTTTATTTATGAGTTCAATTTTTCCTTATTTAAAATAATTAACATTTGAAAAGCTTTTGTAGATTTACTGATTAAGAAAAAAATTGTTTAAAGTCATTGAGTAACTAACATGCTAAACATTTTATTGCCTTTTCTTTCTCTGCTTATAGACTTCAAGTGATTTTCCACCAGATGTTCATTACATGCCCCAAAACATAAAACTCATTCACAACAGGAGCATACTGAAATGTCACATGTCATTAAGTTACCTTAATGAATATAGACTAAATGTCTGTTTCTTCAACCGTTTAATAATTTCTTAAAATGGTTCAGTTTTTTCACTGTTGCTGTAGAAGGGAATGTATATAAGTAACAGAAGGATGTCATAATGATCAATGTGGCAAAAGGTCAGTGCGGGAAATATTTACATACAGGAGTATTTATGGATGTGAATATACATAGATTCTAAGATGCTATTCCGTCAGTCGACAGTTCCCAGTAGTAAAGAATACCGGGCTGGAGAGATGGCTCAGTGGTTAAGAGCACTGACTGCTCTTCCAGAGGTCATGAGTTCAAATCCCAGCAACCGCATGGTGGCTTACAACCATCTGTAATGGGATCCGATGCCCTCTTGTGGGGTGTCTGAAGACAGCTACAGTGTACTCACATATAATAAATAAATAAAAATTAAAAAAAAAGAATACAGTAGGACATTAGCCACAGGATACATAGCACAACGGTCGAGATTTTTAATATTATCCAACAAAAAGATACAGGATTTTTGGAAATACTTGATCCTATTACAAGAGAAGGAAATGCAGAAGACAATCTTGGAACATGCTGTAGCACCAGAAGAAAGTGTTTACACATGGTTTCTATGAAAAGACTATGGGACTTTTTTAAAGAACTCAGTTAATTGAAGCTGAACATTTTTGAGAAAGCTCCTGTTTCCTCAGCTGCAAGCCACTCTGTCATGTATGCTATTCCTTGACATCGTGAACGATATCCACAAAACACGAGCCAAAGAAAACTTCCCCCAGTTCATGCTGTTTTTTTCAGACACGTGATGACATTGAGCAGAGAAGTAGCTAATACTGATGTAAAGAGGAAGCAGGAAATGGCGACTCAGTGTAGAGGCAGGGGCTCTGAACTCAGTTATTTCAGAATGTCCTTAGTTCTGTTCCCAGGAAAGCCAAAATAAAGCTCTGATTTCTTATTTCACCCTAAATGACTGCTGTGAATTACTGAAAATTCATTGAGAACACTACTCCCTGCTAGTGAAATCTTTCTAATTTGATTCTACATTTTCAAAGAGAAAATAAATTATTTCTATTCTCCAATTTTAACCCATCACCCAAATTGTTTGGGGACACCTCTTTAGCATGTAGAATATTACAGTAGCTGCAACAAGGACTATGTTGAATTATCTTAGGGTCAACTTACTTTCTCCTGATCAAGACAGTTCCAGCTCTTAAATCCATTTGGTCCATAACTTCTGTTAATTTCATTGTGTTTCTGTTTAGTTTCTGTTTTCACGATCTGTCCATTGCTGAGAGTGGCGTGTTGAAGTCTCCCACTATTATTGTGTGAGGTGCAATGTGTGCTTTGAGCTTTAGTAAAGTTTCTTTTATGAATGTGGGTGCCCTTGCATTTGGAGCATAGATGTTCAGAATTGAGAGTTCTTCTTGGTAGATTTTTTTCCTTTGATGAGTATGAAGTGTCCTTCCTTATCTTTTTGATAACTTTTGGTTGAAAGTTGATTTTATTCAATATTAAAATGGCTACTCCAGCTTGTTTCTTGGGACCATTTGCTTGGAAAATTGTTTTCCAGCCTTTTACTCTGAGGTAGTGCCTGTCTTTGTCACTGAGATGTGTTTCCTGTATGCAGCAAAAAGCTGGGTCTTGTTTATGCATCCAGTCTGTTAGTCCATGTCTTTTTTTTGGGGGGGGGATTGAGTTCGTTGATGTTAAGAGATATTAAGAAAAATTGATTGTTGCTTCCTGTTAATTTTGATGTTATTTTTATGTTTGTGTGGCTATCTTTTTTTGGGTTTGTTGAAAGAAGATTAAGTTCTTGATTTTTATTGGGTGTAGTTTCCTGCCTTGTGTGGGAGTTTTCCATCTATTATCCTTTGTAGGACTGGATTTATGGAAAGGTCTGCCTTTATTTGTTACTTAACCTTTTCCCCTTACCACTTTTTAATATTCTTTCTTTGTTCTGTGCATTAGACATTTTGATTATTATGTGATGGGAGAAATTTCTTTTCTGGTCCAATCTATTTAGGGTTCCGTAGGCCTCTTGTATGCTTATGTGTTGTGCTGTAGAAGACATCCTGGGGTGTTCTACCACGCCCCCAGAACCCAGAGATCTACATTTCACCTGAGTCACGTAAGGCACAGGTAGAGAGCGTGACTAACAGGCCTCTGCCTCGAGATTTACATATTAATGAATTACCTAAAGACCGGGGGACATAGATAACTAAGTTTTCCCCTCCCTAGCACCTCCTCTTTCCCGATCCTTAAATAAGGGAGCTCCTCCTGGCATTTGGTGGGGGCAAAGCACTTCATCTAGATACAACTATCATCATGGCCAATAAAACTTCCATGTCTTCGATTCCATGTGTCTCCTAGAACTTTGGACTTTCTTTCGTAAGTGAGAAACTCGCTCTCAGGAAAAGCCTCCCACTCTCCCTGTTGCAGCAGTCTGTGGGGCTCCCTCCCCAGCAGGTTCCCAGCAGGCTGCCTCTGTCCCTGTTCTGTGGACTCCCTCCCCGATGCCGGGCTGTGCTGGGTCCCTTGCCACTGCTCCCAGGACCCTGCCGCCACCGCAGCATGTGGGTGGGGCCGAACAGCCACCCCCCCCCCCCCCCCGTGCCCCACGTGTGCAAGTTATTTCCCTTCACCCACGGTTCGCGGGCGGCTTGCGTAGGGGAGTGCCACCGCTGCAGCGCGCGGGCAGCCCAAGCCGTGGCTCTGAGCCTCGGCCACAGTGCACGGGCACGCCCGACCTGCCCAGCAACCCGTGCAAGTCATAACCCACATTTATGGGCATCTCTTTCTTTAGGTTAGGGAAGTTTTCTTCTATAATTTTGTTGAAGATGTTTAACTTGCCCTTTGAGTTGGGAATCTTAGCTCTCTTCTATATTTATTATTCTTAGGTTTGGTCTTCTCACTGTGTCCTGGATTTCCTGGATGTTTCGGGTTAGGAGCTTTTTGCATTTTGATTTTCTTTGACAGTTGTGTCAATGTTTTCTATGGCATCTTCTGCACCTGAGATTCTCTCTTCTATCTCTTGTATTCTGTTGGTGATGCTTGTGTCTATGACTCCTGATCTCTATCCTACATTTTCTATCTCCAGGGTTGTCTCCTTTTGAGATTTCTTTATTGTTTCTATTTCCATTTTTAGATCCTGGATGGTTTTGTTCAATTCCTTCACCTGTTTGGTTGTGTTTTCCTGTATTTCTTTAAGGGATTTATTTATGTCCTTCTTAAAGTCCTCTATCATCATCATGAGATGTGATTTTAAATCAGAATCTTGCTTTTCAGGTATGTTAGGGTATCCAGGGTATCCTGTGGTGGGAGGTCTAGTTCTGATGATGTCAAGTAGCCTTCTTTCTGATGCTTATGTTCTTCTACTTGTCTCTCGCCATCTGGTTATCTCTGGTGTTAGTTGGTCTTGCTATCTCTGACTGGAGCTTGTCCCTCCTGTGAGTCTGAGCCTGTGAGCCTGTGGTCTTAGGTATATCAGCACTCCTGGGAGACAAGCCCTCTCTGGTCAAGACTGGGGTGCAGAGAGCTGCGGCACAGGATCAGCTCTGGCAGTAGATGTAAACTAGGAGGATCGTGTCCCCAGATGCTCTGCAGTTCCTGGGCCCTGGGGGCTCCAAGTGGGTCCTACTTATTCCAGGTATTGGGGCAGTCGCGGTGGTCTCACCTGTGAGCTTAGGTGTGTCAGAACTCCTGGGGGACAAGCTACTAGGGGTGGGACTGGGTGCAGAGAACTGTGGAACAGGGTCAGCTTCAGGTCACAAATTGAAACCATATATTCATACATATATATATATGTGTGTGTGTGTGTGTGTGTGTGTGTGTACATGTATACGTATATATACACATTTTTATATACCATCTATAATATATATATATATATATGACAAAGAATTGTGTCCAAGATCACAGTGTGACTGCCACTCTTGGGATAGAAACAATCCACTTGGCCTTTCCACAAAGAATTCCAATTCTGTGATTCAAAGAAACTGTGGATAAAAACTATCTAGTAGCCAGTTGTGTGCACTGAGAAACATGGGCAGTCCCTTCTGTCACTTCCTCAATTCCCATGGGTGACAGGTGTCCAGGTAGCCTTGAGGTTAGGTGAAGCTATTGGAGCGTATGAGAGCATGTTTGTCTCTGTGCAAACTGCACCACGTTAACAGGGGACTCGAAGCATACCGATGTTTGGGGATTCCTGACTCTAGTAGCTATAGCCATGATCCACAATCTAAAATCTTAATAATATTATTTACCATATTGCTGTCTTTATTTTCCTTTCGACAATGAGTCTCACTTTAAATGCTGGCCTGTCCTTCTACACACAGTTCTGACAGGACTACAGGCAAGAGCCACCATGCTGGCAGTATATGAGTATTTACTGACAATTTTTACCATGTAACTTTTCTCCATTTGACAAAGGAATGCCCCTCTGCTGTAGCATGTGAGGAGGGGTCACTCATTCATCAGGGCCAGGCTGACTGGGTGACTCTTCTTCGTGCTGACAAGGTTGAAGGCCTCACATTGATACTCTCCAGCATCCTCCTTCCCGACAGTATGTATCCTGAGTTGGCACTTTGTTGGAGAAAGTGTGATTCTTTCTGTGAGCTGCACACTCTGATTATTGAAGAGCCAACGGATGGAGATCCCAGTGTTCTCTGAGAAGCAAGTGAAGACCACCGAGCGCTGCACTCTGACTGTTGACTCAGTGACTCTTATGAAGGGCTGTTCCACAGGCTCTGCAAAGAAACACAGGAGGACACCAAATGACAGTTGTCCCTCAGACAGCTCAACCCACCCCTCTATAGCTCACACTTAATAAAGCTTCCAGGGAGGAGAAATTGGAGCTATGACTACAGTCATATCTTGGGCTTTGCATCTATAACCCATGGGCTGTATGACCCTGACTCTGCTACTGAGTTTGCCGTCCCACAGTTTCCCTATACTAGGACACACTGTGCATGATCACTGCAGTACCTATGAGTTAAGATTCGGTATGAGCAATGTTCTGACCTGGGGATGGGGAGCTGCTCACACCAGCAGCATCTGTTGCACTTAGCCTAGGCTGGACTCATGAGGATGAGGAGGTGCCTAGAGAACTGTCACCTCTGTCCCGTCCCTTGGGGACATTATTTTCGTCTGAGTCTCCTAACTCCATCAGAACCGTTGGATTCTGTCCTGGAACCTGTCCATTGAGACTCAGGAGGAGGTGCCCAGGAAACCTACATGACTTCAGCTGTCCTGGCGGTGCACAGCTGATACTACACTCTATGGGACTTGGAGAGTCAGCCAAGCCTTGCTCCCTATCATCTCTGACGGGAAGTCCAATGCTAGCCCTGAGGAAAAGCTCTCTGGGAACAACTAGAGTTGAGTCTGGATCCTTGGCTTCCTGATGGCCCTCTTACTGATTCAGAAGTGAACTGGACCATGAAGAGAGGGTGAACACAGGCTAAATGGGAAAATAGAAGGGAAACAGACAAATCCATCAATATTGAGACCTTTGTCTTTGGTGAAAAGATGGGGTCTTGAGATCACAGAAGAGGAGGTGCATGGGAGTGTCTGCACAACCCAGAGGGAGTGAGCAAATGACCTCCATGCCCTCGGTGCACCTGATTGTGTGTTGCTTCCTCTGTGTGGAACTCTGTCCTTGTGTGTCTCCACCCTCACTGTCCTCACATGCCTGCTCACTCTCAGATGTGGGGGATGGGAGTATCTTCCCTGCCTTCCCTGACCTCTTCATCTACAAGCCTCAGATGACCCTCTCTGGATGCAGTCAACCCTGATTTCACTTTGAGATGGGCTGCCTGGTCTGACTTCCAGTCCACTAAAGATAATGACCTTTTAGAAAAAGACTAGTTTAATCTTTCTGGAAATTCTAGTACATAGACAGGCTCAGATATGTGGGACAATGTAAAACAGAAAACCTTGTAAGGTCAAGTGGATTCAGGAACCCCAGAATTCTCAGAATAGAGAAAGGTAAGCATTTAAATCTACTCCTGACAATGTTTCTGACCTGGAACATGTGACCATGACACCCCATGGAGAGGACTGTGACAATCATACCCAAAACCCTTACACATGCAAATGAGGCATCCCTAACATCTCAGACCAGACCAATAGAAAGCATCTAATTTTTTTAAGATCCTATCCACAAGGAATAAAGTGCACAAGATATTTCACCAAAGACCAACTGAGAGTCCATTTTTTCCGGCTATGACACCCTTAGGGAAGAGTATTCTCTCTTGAAGCTTTCCTTGCTGGAAGATACTCCAGCTTACCAAAGCCACTTCCTGCTCAGTGGCCCCAGCCTTGGTTCTTAGCCACCCACTGTGGCACACTGCCTGCCACAGACTGCAGGGCAGCTGAGGCCAAGGAAGAGGCCAAGCATCCTTGCTCTGGCTCCCCCTGGGAGAGCTGCAACTCTTCAGCTGCTCAGGGCAGCCCTGAGCACTGCACATCTCTGGAGTCATAAGAATGAGTGTGAATGAAAGAATGAACATCTCAGGGCATTACAAGGCCAGATGCTAATGGAATTCTCATATTTAAAGCTACTGACAGGCGATCTGAATTCTTGCTTAAGCTGCGAGGCTAAGCACTGCAAGGGAATACCAATAAAAGTTAAAAATATCTCTCTGGGTTCCCTGAGGGACAAGCCTAACTGCATAGGGGTTGATGTCAAAAGTATCCCCTCTCCAGGAAAAAGACATCGGGACAGATATGGCCCTCATGCCTCACTGGACAACGACAGGGGGACCGGAGCCACTACAAGGTCCCCTTCAATTACTGGAGGTCAGGCCTCTATCCACACTTTCGCAAGATTAGATTTGCCACAGCCCGTCTATACTTAGAGAAGGGAGGAGATGTCAGGGGCATCCCTGCTTATATACTGAAGGCCTAAAATCAGCCATAGGCCTAAAATCAGCAATAGGCCTGTCATACATGTATACTAACACCTAGTCTTGGGTCTCTGTGGATAAACACTGAAACAGATGGCTATAAGCTATTGTAAACAGGCAGTTTTTGTGACAATTTACCAGCCTGAGTAGTCATAGACCTTGTAAATAGGTAGCCTTGGCAGATAATACCAACTTAGATAAGGACAAGCAAATCATAGGCAGAGCCATAGTGACCTGTCCCCTGAACCCTTACCCAACCAATACCCTGTTCTGAAAGATATCTGTATTCCCCCAAACACCCACACTCCAGTGTCATTCCCTTCCCCACATCCTGCCTTTCTGTGTTTATAACCCCTGTGTGAATGAGAATAATTTACAATTTGAAAAAATAAAAAAATAAAAATAAAGCTACTGACAGCAGTTAAACCTCCAGCTCATGTTACCTTGTGCATGTGTGGGGAGTTGGTGTAAAGGTATGGGTAGGCATGAGTGTGGGTGTCGGTGCAGGAGCAACTGTAAACCATCATGTGTATGGGTGAAGGCAGGACTCAGCACCTACATGGAGGTCAGAGATCAACTTGAGGGATCCTTTCCTTTCCTTCCACCGTAGCTCTCCTCCTCTCACACAGTCAGACACTGTTCTCCTCACCAGTGAGCAGGAGACACTACCAGAGGCTGCAAGTACTGCAGAGAAGTACACAGTGGGCCACCATGACTTTGACTAATTTACCCTCCCAGAGTGGAGAACAGCATTGGCTACAGCACTGCCGCTAAGCTCTACAGTCTTCCTCCCTCAGAGCTAAGGCTCTGTCCAGAGAGGAGCCCTTCCCAGGATAATGCTGACTGCTGTCAGGATGGTGTTCAGGGTCCTGCTCTGTCTCTTCCACACTTGGTCCTGCAGGTGTCCCAGGTGGCTTCACCATATGCACGTGTTTCAGTTCTCACGACCACACAGTGAGCAACAAAGCTGAAAATCATCTCTGTGTCCTGGGGCAGCAACAGCTCACACTAGGGCTGCCCTCTACTGTGTTCTCCCAATGTGTCCTTTATGACAGAATCCTAAGCTGCTCTGAGGTGGCATCGACTCCCTGAAGGAAGGTGACACAGATAGATGCCTGTGAGGACTAGGAAGGGACCTGCTGACTGATGTCTAGGAAAGAGTCAGTCTCATACTCAGAGGCAGATGCTCACAACTAGCCATTGAACTGATCATGAGGTTCTCAATAGAGGAGTTAGAGTGAAGACTGAAGGAGAGCTGAAAGGATTTGCGGCACCATGAGGAAGGCAACCATACCAACCAACCACAGCTCCCAGGGTATAAACCACCAGCCTGGGAGCACTTAGGGAGGGATCCAGGGCTTCAGTTGAATATGTAAGAGTGGAGGGCCCTGCAGGGCATAGGTGGAAGACGAGAACCTTGACCGCATGAAGGCTGGATGCCCCAGGGGGTGGGAATTTTGAGGGTGGGGAGGTGGGAGTGGGGGGGTAGATAGAGGTTACATCCATAGAGAAGAAGGAGGAGGGGTGAGGGGATTGGGGGTTCCTGGGTGGGTGGGGGATGGGGTAAGGGGACAACATAGGAAATGTAAATAAAACATCCAATAAAAAAAATTAAAAAA